CCTCCATCTCCTTTACAGCCTGAGAAATTAGGGAGGGTCTTTTCTGAGCCTCTTGCTCTGCCCACTTTCCAGCTGTAGGCTATGGTGTCTCTTACCTGACCATTCCCAAGGCAGTGTCTCTGGGCCCACTCTCCCAAGGTCTTTCCCACATACCATTACACCAGTAGATGTGACTTGTCCCTCTCCAGCAAGAAATGAGTCACTCTAAATAGGACCACTGGATAGCTGTTGGTGAATATAATGAGGGTGGAAAAGTAATTCCTGAATGTAATCCCGAATATGGGTTCTTACTCATGTTCAGAGTCACTCTTTGTCTTTCTCCAGTGGGACTCCAGGTTCTGATTCTTCATGTCTCAAAGCTCCTTGGAAAACCAAGGTACACCCCAGGATTACCGTCTGGGAGAGTCTATATATAGAGGCAATACGGTCCAAGATTTCAGATACCCACTTATTCTAGGTTGCCACCAAGGCCTTGACTGAACTGCCCACAAGATCCTCAGGGAATGCCCCAAACTCCCTTTGAAACCCTGCAGGGTCCATAAGTCCCTTGGGCTGGGTGATTTAATAGACCCTTCCCCTACCTCCTTTTGAGGTGGGGTGTCACCTTGTTTAAAATTAATATTTGTTGCCCTTTGGATTTCAAAGGTCTTTTAACTCTGTTTTGTCTCCTGCCTTTGTGTTCACTTTCAGAGTAGCCCTGGCATTTTTTTTAATTCACTTTTGATATTTTAATCATGTATCTGATAAAGTAATTTCAGTCTTCTCCTCAACATTGGAGGTGATTACAGTAGTGGGTTTGTTGAAGTTTAGTACACACAGTAGTAAAACATTGCTAGTAAATTGCCAGTTGCAAGTTAAAGCAGTAAGCGGTAAACATTTTTCTCTTTTTTCCCCCAAGATTTTCCTTTGTTGTCCCCTCAAGTCCTCAACTCTATCTCAGCTTTATCTCCATCTTTACTGCCTCTTTCTCCTTTTATTTTTAGATTTATTTTACTGTAGCCTGGTAGAAAATGTATATGAAACCATGGCCTAGAAGTGGGTGAATCCTTGCAGAGTGAACAGATTCGCTTTTAGATGGACCAAATAGTGACAGAAGCATCATTGTTTTTCTAAATCCTGTACTGCAGCTAATTGTATTTTCAGGTATAATGTATAGACTATTACTTTTCTTTGTATTCTTATATGCATTTCTAATAATTTGTTATCAGCCTGTTAACCAATTGCAGTTCTTTCTCTTTTCTTTGTGATAATTTGTGATACATTGATTACTCTGATGATGATTTTTTAGTTTAGTTAAGATAACTGGCATTTGGATGCTTACATTAGTGAGCTTTACTGACTTTGAGGCTGGATGAGAATTGAGTAGATATGCTGGCTGGAAAATACTGGCTGGTAGTTGGGGAAGAGAATATTGGCTAGAAAGGATTGTTAGTTGCTATCCAATGTGAAGGAATTGATTTTTTAAAAACCATAGTCTAAATTTTATAATGGATAGGATGAGCCTGAACAAGCTGAAACTAAATCCAGACAAGATGGAGGTATGTAGACCAGCAGGAACCAACACTTGGTGGGTAGAGTTCAGTCTGTTTTGAATGGGATTATGCTCTCATGAAAGAGTGTGTCTGCAATTTCAGAGTGCTTCTTGAGACTCAGATGACTCTGGATTTCAGGAGATGATAGTAACAAGGTAAATATTTGCACAGATACATCTAATGCATTATTTGTGATAATTTCTACTGGTCATGTATTTTTAACTGGTTTTCAGTTCTTTTATGTCATTTACATTTATGTTGTCTGTTAGCAGTCTTGAGTGCTCTAGGGGGAGAAGGACATGGAAACTGTACATCAACATGCCAGTTTTTTAATCTGTTATTGTAAACTGCTTTGGGAATGACAAATCAGGGTGCACAATTTCTTAGTTTGAGGGTGCTATCCAGGCTTTGTATTGCAAATTGAAGATCACATTCCAAACTGGATGGGATTGAGTCCCTTTTTGTCATTTGTATTTCTGTAATTTTTATTTTATTTCATTATTTGTATTTTTAATTTTATTTTATTATTACTGTTTTAAAGTTATAATAGCAAAGTCAAGAAAACACTCACAGCTCTGACTTTAAAAAGTTAAAGACAAAAATAGTAGTGAGAAAAGCACTAGGCAAAATGGGCTAAGAAGGATGCAGGCAGGTTGATGGAAGGTAGGATTGGAGAAGGAGAAAGAGAAGCGGTAGTAGGAGACATAATGGCAGAAGGTAGGCTAAGAAAAATTGATTGGGGCATATATGAAAAGTAAAGACAAGCAGTAGTGTGAAATGCATTAGGGAAAGCAGGCTGAGAAAGATCAGATAGGAAAAAGAAGCAGTATGGCATTTGCAGAACTGGATACTTAGTGAGAAATCTAGCAGTGGGGAGATTGTCTGTCTGTCTGTCTGTCTGTCTGTCTAAATCTAAATGGGGAGATAAAGCTGAGAAGGTGAGGAAGTGTAATGGGGCATAGCCAACCTTTTTCGGGCTGCATGCAGCCCAGAAGCCTCATGTTTTGTACTCCTGCTATAAGCCAATATGAGGCAAATATACTTTTGGGTGAAAGAAGCAAGTTTTGGGGTGAAAGAAGCAAGTTTTTAGAGGCCTCAGATGAATGGGATCACCTTAATAAAATTGAA